AGGGGACGGCGCACACAATGGGCACCCCCACAACCGCCACCCCCACACTCCTCACCCCCAAACCCTAAAACGGGTTGCAAGGGGTAGGAGCGCGGGGGACGGTGGGGGGGACGGCGCGCGGCCCCCAGGGCGCCACCACGGGGCAGCAGGGGGCCGCGCGCGGCTCCCCAGGGCGGCGCGACGGGGCAGCGGGGGGTCGCGCGCGGCTCCTCAGGGCAGCGCGACGGGGAATCGGGGGCCGCGCGCGGCTCCCCAGAGCGTCGCGACGTGACGACGCGAACAGGGGGGGGGACGCGCGGCCCCCTAGGCGCCTCGACGGGTGACGGGATGGGGGGGACGCGCGGCCCCCGCGACGCCACGACGGGCGACGGGAGAGGGCGCCACAAATGGCGACGGGATGGCAGGGGGGGCGCGCGCGGATCCACCGTGTAGAAAACCGCCGCGCGCCCCGAGCGCACGGCAGGATGAAAAACGCCAGAAGACGGCGCGCGCCCGAGGCGCGCCAGAAGCAGAACAGCAGCGGAAGCAGTTAGGTGGTGGGCCCACCCACAGGATCGACCCAAGGGGGTCGACCTGCTCTGAAACCATGTCAGAACTAGTAGCAGAAACAAGAATGAAGAAAGGAGAGGGTTCACTAGCAAGCAGTTGGATACATATAGCAAACCCTAATTGGGTTGTACTCACTATGGAGTACCCCACTGCAGGCTAGACAATAATAACATTCTGACATTACTCTGCAACGCTGGAGCGGTGCGAGCGCTGCTGCGCTGGAGCGCGGTCGACCATGCTGTGCTGGAGGTCGACCAGCAGCCTAGCTAGCTCTGATGTAGTCAGTGTTGCCAATGTTGTATGAACCATTGTTCTTAACCTTTCCTAGTGGAACTCTTGCCAACTTTCCCCGTGAACTAGCAAGTGTGTGCACACAAGGAAACGACTAAGGAACGAATGAACGCAGAGATCACACGAGCACCCGTGCCTAGCCCGCAGCCTAGCTCCCGTTGCTAAAGTTATCTCCGCACACCGAACAGTAGGGAAGAGGTCCGGCTTCTTTCGAGGCTCTGTCCACGTTCTGCTCATCCCAGTTAGCTTCAACTGCTGCCGATGCGAAGGCTCGATCCCCACGAAATCCGCCTGTGACATCCCGTGAGGTTTCCAAATTGTACAGGTACGTTGGAAGGGTGAGGCGTTTGTAGGATATGACATCACGTGCTGCCACTGTTTCCTTTGTGATGATGTCAAAAATCTTCCATGCGTTGTAATGTTTCTCGATGCCCAGGTGTAGTCCCCATTGTGCGCGTTGGGAGAATCGACCGGCGCGTGCAGCTGGGGGTCGGTACTGAACCATGCAGCCGAACACTCGTAACATTTTTGTGTTGCCCAATTTTCCTGTCCACAACAGATGCGGTGATGCGTTGTTCGGGAGCGATGATGACGAAAGCAAGTTGTGCAGCATGACAGCATGGACCATCGCCTCAGGCCACTGGTGGTTGGGTAGCCGCATGCCACGTAGCAGCTTGCGCATGGTGTTCTGGAGAGTCCTGCTCATTCCTTCCGCCACGCCTTGCTGTTGGTGAGCGTAGGGAAGGGTGAGAAGTCGCTTGATGCCTCTCTCTGCCAAGTACTGTGTGAACCTCTGTGACGTATATTCCCCTCCCCCGTCTGACTGGAAGCTTTTCAGCTTCACCCCTGATTCTCGTTCTGCTACTGGAAGCCAGGCAACGAAGGCTTCGAAAGCCATGTCGCGACTCGGAAGGTTAGGATGCCATACGTATCGTGTGGCGGCGTTGATGAAGGTGATGACGTAGTTGTATGCTCCTTGACCGGGTTCACGGTTGTACAATATGTCGCTGTACACCTTCTCCAGAGGTGCGTATGCTGGTGCACTTGGGTTGTGATGAGAGACGAAAGGCTGATGCGGTAAGTCGGCTTCAGGGCAGGTGAGGCATGTTCCTCGAACTCGTTGAAGCTCTTTGCCGTCGGGTAGAAGTAGCGAGTCTTTATCAAGTACTCCTGCTCTTATCGTGTTATTTAATGTTGTGTTGCTCGGATGTCCCATTCTTGCGTGCCAGATGTCTTCGCCGGCGCGATGTCCGGGTGAGCGCCTGTACATGTCGGAGTTGGAGTAAAAACTGGCGGTGAAGTTGGCGCTTCTGTGGACTTCTCGTGGAGTGGGAGTCAGCTGCTGTGCAGGAGTCGGTGGAGTATCGTCGTCTATTGGGGTTGGTGCCGTTGAAGGACCCGCAATTGGTGTCATGGTCGATGTAGTCTCTGCTGCTGCCGATGTTGTCTCTGCTGCTGCCGATGTTGTCTCTCCTTGTTGGATTGTCGCTAATGCTCGTGTTTGTTCTGCCTCAGGTACGGTGTTTGAGTACCAGAAGCCGCCGGGGCTGAAGTCAGGGTCGAGATCTGGTGGATGTGTCCAAGGAGTGAAGGTCACGATCCCGTCGCTGTCGGCGGTGCCTTGATCTGGAACGAAGTCGAGGACGAAGACGTTGTCCTTCAACACTGCCTTGCCGATGTAGAGACATCCTTTCCCGTGGTACAACTTATACTCCTGTGTGGTGCTGTCTGCTTCGAGGTGGATGCCCTTCGCCATCAACTGGCTGACGCTGAGTAAGTTGTAGCCGAGTCCCTCCGCGATTAGAACCTTTGACATTTGAAGTATGACGCTGGTTTCTCTTGACTGAAGTTGAACGATGCCTTGCCGTCGTGTGCGGAGGTTCTGATTGTTGGCGATGGTGATGGCTACTTCGCGTTGAAGTTGGTGTTCCTTTTGGACGAAGCGACCCGAGGAGCACATGTGCTGTCCGCAGCAGCTGTCCAAGAACCAAGTGTCTTTCCTGAACGGTTCGCTCTGGGCGATGGCTGCGTATGTCGGGTTCGGTTCCAGTGACTCGCGGCGAGGGGTGCTTTCATCGAGTTGTTCTTCCGGTAAGTAGTACGGTGGTGATTCAGTGATGCAGGAGTCTAACAATCTCGCCATGCAGCTCACGATGTTTCTTGTCCCTTGTGCAGGTTGCGTTGTCGACGTTGTTGAAGTTTGAGCTTGAGGAGTGGGATGCGCTTGTGTTGAGGCGACTTGGCTGCTTGAAGGCCGAAGTTGTCGTTGCGGTGGTGTTGACTGCTGTCAATTTGGACAGTGTGTGCGAGGGTGTCCAGAAGTCTTGCAGAGGTGACAGAACGGCGGTACGTGCTGTTGATGTTGTTGTTTGTTCTGTCGGTTGGAGTTGTTGAAACGCCGTTGGGTGTGGAATGCAAATTCGGGTACTGACGTTTTCTTCTTGTGCCGCTCCTCGTGCAGGTCCATGTCTTGTTGTTCGGCGTGTATTTCGGCGCAGAGTGCCGCTTTGGAGATTTTCCCGTGAGCTCGGAGTATAGCGCGAGTGGAGCGCCAATGAGGACCAAGGCCGGAGATGACGACTGTGACAAAGGCTTCTTCCGATATTGATCCTCCGCATCGAAGGAGTTTGTCACGCAATTCGCGACAACGGCTGATATACGCCATCCCTTTTTCGCCGGGTTTCATTTCCACTGTTGTCAGCTGTGCCATTAACCGACTCTGATTGACGCTGTCTGTTGCTTGATACAGGTTCTTCAAATGGTTGTAGGCGAGCTCGGCGGAGTTGCCGTATCCCCGATAAGACCGGATGTTTTGCTGCTGGTTTGGAGTTACGTTCCTCAGCAAGATTGTGTATGCCATCATCGACTGATATGTGTACTGATGCTTGTCGTATTGTGTCCCGTGTGTTGGGTATGGCAGGGACCCGTCGAAGAATCCAAGAATCTGCGCGCCTTCCATCATCAGCTCGAACTCGAATGACCAGGTATAAAAATCCTTGCCGTCGAAAGGCGTCGATGTCTGTAGTTTCAAGACGTGCGCGAACTGTGTTTGAACCTGAAGCGCATCCAGTGTCTTCTCCTGTCCAGGTCGGGGCTGTTGATGCGGCATGAAGCTGATCGAACCACGTTGAGGCTCATACGGAGCAAAGGTAGGTTGCTGCTGGTTTCCGCGCGCATAGGAAGAACCATCGAGACTCATAGGTGTAACATCGTTGTTGTTGTTGCTGTTGTTTGACTGCGCAGGTGCCGTTTGCTGATGCTGTTCGTAGAAGGACATGAAGGAGAAGAACTTCTCCATCATGCTTGGGTCGAAGCCTGTTGCTTGGTTCGCGGGAGTCTCAGTAGACTCAGCTGCTGGTCTTGTTGTTGTGCCTCCCTCTGTCTGCAGGCCGGAGGCTGGAGGTGGAGTAGGAGTAGAGCCAGGAGAGCCGTTGGAGGAGCTTCTCTCCTTCTGCATTGCCATGTTTTCTGACGTTGTAGAGGATTTGAATGCAGTTGAATTTGCCTTGACAGCTCTCATACCATGTTGGGCTGAGAAAAGCCCTTAGGATCTTTACAAGGCTAAATCCTAAGTACCGTGATCTCCCGCCTAGAAGACCCGGGGTTCTTATCCTAAATGTGCTGGAAATAGGTTGTGGGGTCTTATGTAATGACATGAAGTGCATAAGACCCCTGGACATCTGTTTGTTACACAAATATTGAATTTGTGGTAGTGTACAGGGAATTTGGTTTTTTCATACCCATCGAATTCGAGTCTGCCTGTAAGCGAGGAGTCAAATTGCCATTTTCGTGCCACCACAACCCATGCCACGCGTCACACATTCACGCATGACGGCGGCAAAACCTGCCAGTGCTGGCGCCGCGCCACTAGTCTTGATTGGTGTCGTGGCCACACAACCATCACCTCATCAGGTTCGGTGCATCTGGTGGGGTGATGGGTTCGAATACGTTCCACCGTGCACTGCTGGATTGCAAGCGCCTCGGAGAACGTGCTCTCACCCCAGTCACGTCCCTCTCCTCCCCGGCTTCTGAGGGGGGTAGTCCGAGTCGAGGAGGCTCATTTTCATTTTTTTTCCTTGAGTTGAAAACCTCCTCCCGTTTCTCTCAGCCACCATGTTCCTACCCAATAGCTTAGGCTGTTCTCCCGTACATGCGCAGTCATGTCTGCGCTGGACATGCTGATGAAGATGCGGGCTGTTAGTGCAGCCCGCGGCCTTGCAGCCATGGCGAATGCACCCCCAGCTCCACCTGCCCCGCCGGCTCCTCCGGCACCACCTTCTCCGCCTGCTCCTCCCGCACCTCCTGCTCCGCCGTCGCCTCCCGTGCCCCCTTTCCCTTACCCCTTCGAACCTGTGAACGGCGAAGACGAGCTTGTTGGGCAGATGGAGCCTGACGCGTCTTCAACCGATGACGAGGGGAGTGACGGCGCCGCAGCGACCGGTGAAAACCTTACCTTTCCTCTTCCCCAGTTCCCCACTGATGTGCTGCGCGATGTCAACCCTGCCGCTGTCTCTTGTGATGCTATTACCCCCAATTCCCGGAATAGGGTTAACCAGCACAAGCGCCACGCTCGCACCATGGCAGAGAAAACTGGTTGGCTTGTGAGGATGAAGGATGACATTCTCACGGTGCGCGAAACTGCACGGCTGGCTGGCGTTCAACCAGTGAGCATCCGCCGCTGGAAGAAGGCGGCTGAAGAGATGGCAGCGGCGGCAGGCAGTCGTCTGCGGCTTTCTGGTGGCGGACGGCAAGCTCGCTACTCTGACATGGAACTGTCCGTGTACAAGCAGTTCCTCGCCCACAGGTCACGGGGATTGGCGGTCCCGATTAAGCTGCTGCAGACATGGAGCCGGATTTCGATGAAGCTCCGGCACCCTCAGGTCGACTGGCGCGCGTCTCCTCGCTGGACGGTCCGATTTCGCAAGCGGTGGGGCCTCACCGTAAGGGTAAAGACCAAGATCGGGCAGCGTTTGACGAAAGGTACGTTCAATTCGTACGCGGAGAGTTGGTTTAATAATAACTTCCTAACATTGCCGTTTGTTCTGTACTTTTTGTCTACCTGCAGATTGCAAGCCGAAGTGTGAAAGCTTCTGGCAGTTCTGCAGGAGGCAATTGGTCCGCGATGGCATCGACCCTTGGAATGTTATCAACGCCGACCAGACGCCGGTGTTCCTCGAGATGCCGCACGAGAGGACGTTGGCGCACCGCGGCGAGCGCGCGATTCACATTCGGAGCGCCGGCTATGAGAAACAGCGCATGACTGTGATGCTGGCGGTCACGGGGACGGGGGTGAAGCTGCCGCCGATGGTGATATTCAAGCGGAAGACCGTCCCCAACAGCAGGGTCCCGCTAGGTGAGTTGCTGCATCTGTCTCGTGTAAACGCATCGTGTAAACGCATCGTGTATTATTGCCCCCGTTCTGACTGTTTCCTTGTTTCTGTGTGCAGGCATGCTAATCCGAGCGCAAGAACGTGGCTGGATGGATTCTAGCCTCGTCCTGGATTGGGTGCAGACTGTGCTGCTACCTCACACGCGCCCCCGCCCAGGCATCAATCGCAGCAAGACACTGCTCGTACTGGACTCGTACCGTGGGCATCTGACGGACGCTACGCTGGCATCGCATCACGCCTGCGATCATCCCTGGCGGCTGCACGCCTCTGCTGCAGCCGCTGGACGTGAGCATTAATCGCTCGTTCAAGGCTGGTGTCCGGCAGATGTATAACGACAGGTTTGCCGATCATGGCATCAACACCCTCACCCCCGCCGGTAAGCCCATAACTCCTTGTTTGGCCCCCTCTACCGGCAAATTCCTTTCCGTATTCTAACGCTCAAGCGCATGTTCACCGCTGCAGGCAACCTTAGGAAGCCGCCAGCGGAGCTGGTCCTCCTGTGGATTACCACAGCCTGGGCCGCCGTCCCTGAGGACCTCATTATCAGGCCATTCAAGACCTGCGGCATCACCAACACCTTCGATGGGCGCGAGGATCACTTGATTCTCGCGCACATGCGCGATGGGGCTCAAGTATAAGTATACTACACGCATACATACACTCGCAGTCGTAACTGATTCTAGGAGGGTATGCAGGTGGTTACAGGTAACCAGGCCCCCCCTTCCTCCTTACGGGGGCAGGAAAGCTACACCGCCATCTTCCCATATGGCCTTGAAGCCCGCTCTCCACGTCATCGAGGCTTCGTTCTCATGCGCGATGGGGCTCAAGTGGAGGTGCACGACGACGTGCACGCGGCGGGGGAGGTTGAGGAGTGGATCAACCCCATGTACGCCACTGCCGCGGAGGAGGCCGCGGAGGAGGAGGAGGAGGAGGAGGAGGAGGAGGAGGAGGAGGAGGAGGAGGAGGAGGAGGAGGAGGAGGAGGAGGAGGAGGAGGTGGACGAGGAGGCACCTATGGAGGAGGAGGAAGCTATGGAGGAGGAGGACGGCGAGGACAGTGAGGAGCAGTAGACAGGTGCAGAAGCAGGTGATTAAATAGTAGGAAGAAGGGCGGTTGCACTAGCAAGAATGAGGATACAAATAGCAAACCCTAGAAGGGTTGTACTCGCTATAGAGCACCCCACTACAGGCTAGAGCATAATATTCTGACACACCCCCATAGCCAAAGTGGGGTGTAGTCAGCAGAGCAAGTAAAGCAGTACAAGCTCAGGGTGGATCACAATGTCACCACACATTCTGAGCACAAGTTCAAGAAGCAATAGTTTAAAGTTCACAATTATGAGCAAAGCTAGTGGTAGTCACAGAGGGCAAGTGAGGAGGAGGAGAGACTGTGGGGGAGAGAAGATGGGAGGCGACTGCTGACGCTGCAGACACACAGACGAGCTGCTGGCTCAGTGGCTACCGAAGCAAAGGCCCGGACTACAGGAGTAACTGGCTCCGCGGCTAAAAGTAGCGGCAGACGAGCAACTGACCCACAGGCGACTGGCGACTACCGGAGATTGTAGCCTCCGGACTGCTGGTGCTGCTGACGACAAGACTGCTGCCTCCACTTAACCTCCCCCAGCTGCCCAACACCCCTCTCACACACCCGCTGCTACACCGCTAGCTCCACTCCCCCTTCACCCCCCCTTAGTACCACTCCAACTGCTCCAACAAGTCCACCCCCCCTCAGCGGCAGCTGCAGCACAGGGAGACGGAGGAGGAGGAGGAGCAGGGAACGGCACACAATGGCTTCACCCCCATACCCCTCACCCCCAAACCCTAATTCAGGAGAACGGGCTGTAGGAGGGGTGGGGCGCCAGTAGAAGCACGGGGGACAGCGGGGAGGGCAGGGGCAGCGAGGAAAGGGCCGCCCACGGGCCTGGCACAGCCGCCCGAACCGCGCGCAGGCGGCCCGAGCCGCGCGCGGGCCTGGCGCAGCCCGTACGGGCCGCGCGCGGGCCTGGCGCAGCCCGTACGGGCCGCGCGCTGGCCTGGCGCAGCCCGTACGGGCCGCGTCCGGGCCTGGCGCAGCCCTTACGGGCCGCGCGCAGCCTGTACGGGCCGCGCGCAGCCTGTACGGGCCGCGCGCAGGCCACGACGGGCGACGGGGGGCGACGCGCGGGTCCCCGTCGCCCGTCGCAGCGCCTCCCGAGGGCGACGCGCCGAGTGACGGGGCAGAAGCCCGCCGCGCGCCTCGGGGCGCACAGCGGGCAGAGAACCGCCGCGCGCCACGGGGCGCACGGCGGGCAGAAAACCGCCGCGCGCCTCGGGGCGCACGGCGGGAAGAAAAACTGCCGCACGCCACGGGGCGTGCGGCACAGAGGGTAGCAGTGGAAGTTGCAGCGGAAGCAACGAGGTGGTAAGACCACCCACAGGATCGATCCAAGGGGATCGACCTGCTCTGATAGCATGATTAAAATAGTAGGAAGAAGGGGGGTTGCACTAGCAAGAATGAGGATACAAATAGCAAACCCTAGAAGGGTTGTACTCGCTATAGAGCACCCCACTACAGGCTAGAGCATAATATTCTGACAGCAGGTAGTCTAGTGATTGTATGCACTGGCTGGCGGTAATTTGTTGGTATTGTAGCCTCTAACCATTTGACCCTGGGTAGTAGAGTTCAAATGAAGTGTAGCCTGTAAATGTGGCTAAAAATAATGCTAGAATGTTATAAAAAACCAGAAATTGGGGAAGAAGGGGGGTCTTATAATGAATTGGGTCAAAAGGCAGGTCCTCTCCAGGACTGACTTAATAAAAGACCCCTGGTCCGGATAGAAGACCCACGGGGCTTTTATGCGGGGTTTCTTGTAACCGGGAGATCACGGTAGAAGTGTTGTAGTTGCGGAAGCGTTTTAATGACAAGTGTTGAACCACCTTGCGCTAGTATGTGAGGGCAAGATAGATTGATTATAGAAAAGTAATACAAGCTTTTATAGGATTACAAGGAATACAAAAGGGTATAACTAATAACTGATTTGCTGTTGCGGTTCGATACAGTGATGACTCGGGCAACTGCTCAGTATCGAGTCAGTTGTTTGTCCTTGATGTCGCGCTGTATTTGTCAAGTCAAAGGTCGCTTATCTTTGACCTTCGCGTAACCTCCAGCAGTTACTTCTCTTGTCAACCTCCGATGGTTGACTCGCCGTTGCTTCGTTGTAGTTCGCTTCGTTTTCAGCTTGCTGTTGCGACACATCAAAAGCGTTTAAGTTACCGTATCACCCCGGATATAGGCGCCGTCCAATTATAGGCGCCGGCGCCTTTATCTGGAGCATGGCGCTTATGGCCGGAACTCGATTGTAAGCGCACCCCCTGTGATTTCTGTTCTTATTATAAGCGCCACCCTTAAAATTTTACTAGAATCATTACAAAGAATTCACTAAAATGTCATTTTTTCATGGCCACCACAACATCACTTTACGCTAGATCTCCTAACAACAAGTTTAGCCGGGGTACTTCTACCTAACATGGATCATCCAGTACCCCTCCTACTCCTCCTCGTCAGATTCGGGCTCCTGGCAGTTGTTGCCAAAAAATCCATCAGCGATGATGTCGTCGTCGACATCCACTTCCGCTGTCAGCTGGCTCCGCCTGTGCGCCATGGCGAGTCCGTCCTCACTGCCGTCAAGTTGGTTGCTGATGCCACAGGTGAGGAAGGCACGCTTGATGAGGTCGGCCGGCACTGCCTTCCAGGCCTGAGATATCCACCTCAGGACGACCTCAGGTGGAGGCTTCTTCAGGTTCCCTGAAACATTACGGGAGAACGGAGGAAAGCCGTTAGTGCAACAACAAAGAATTCGGGGGGGGGGGGGGGGCTAAAACGATACCGTACTCATGCCATACCTGCTGCCGTCAGCTGCTCTTGCCCCTCTGCCTCAAACCACCTCTGGTACTGCTGGCGGACCGACGCTTCAAAGCTCTTGTTGATGGAGACATCGAGCGGCTGTACCTCTGCCGTACAGCCCGACGGGATGATTGCCGGCACGCAGTTCATCTCGCGGAGCTTCTCTTTCACCCCCTCGGTGAGGTGACCGCGGTAAGAATCCAGCACCAGCATCGAGCTCTTGGCTTGTCTGCCGAACTTAGGCTTCAAGAAAGGCTTGACGCCCTCCTCAAGCCAGCGAATGACGCCCGCGGAGTCCATCCACCCGTTCTCATGGCAAGCCACGACCACATCTGCACGAAACACATACGGGTGGTTAGAATTCGAAATCAAAACAGAACGCCGTTAACGAGCAGTGCACCTCTTGACTTACCGGCAGGGAAATTGCCCTTCGGCAAGGTCTTGCGCTTGAAGAACACCCACGGCTTCAGCTTCAATCCGTCCGCCGTGCACGCCAACATCACGGTCACTCGTTGCTTCTGATACCCCGCGCTCCTGATAGGCACCGAGCGAACACCTGTTTCCTCCACGGTGGTGGTTGCGGGCATCTCCAGCCAGAGCGGCGTCTGGTCCGCGTTGATGATCCACGCGGTGTTGATGCCGCGCTCACGACGCTTGGCCCGCACGAACGACCGGAAGCTCTGGCACTGCTCAGCGACATCTGTACAAATGTGGAAGAGAGGACGGACACAGAGGGAGGGTGTTAGTACAAATAAACTAAAAACCACGTGGCAAATTACACGGCCTAAATCTTACGCGCGGCGGTTTTCTGGGCAACCCGGGTCTTCATGCGGACGCTCAGATTCCATCGCCGCCGAAAGCGCTCCGACCACCTCTGGCTTCCTTTCCACTTCTTGTCCGGGTACAGAAGCTTCATGAACTCCTGCGACCACTCCTGGAGGCGGCCGACTGACACGGCGGTTCCCTTGCGGCGCCACTCGAGTAGCTTCCCGTACACCTTCAACTCCATCGGCCGGTACCACGACGCTCGCCCGCGGCCGTGCATGCGCTTCCGAGCGGAGTGAACGTCCTTGAGGAATTCAGCCGCTCGCTTCCAGTTGGTGAGGCACTTGCGGTGGATTCCGCTCTCGCGAGCCAAGGCGCGCACCGACACCGCCACATCAAGCAGAGCAACCCACTTCAACTTCTCCGCGGCGGTGTAACCTTGCCGCTTGTGGTCGGTGAGCTTGTGCCTGGGAGAGGGGGGGCGGGCATCACGGTTCTGTGAAGAGGGGTGGGGTCGCTTGCGATTAATCGGAGGATAGGATGGTATGGGCAGTTTCTCGGGTAGCCCGTCGCGTGACCAGTACTCCACGTCGTCGTCGTCATCGTCGCCCGTAACACCTTCTGGAAACACATCCTCAGCGGTGCCGCCCTCGGCAGAAGCCTCCGTGCCACCCTCGGCGCCGTCACTGCCGCTCGCTTCCTCAGCGTCAGCAACATCATCGTCGGCGCCGACTGCAGATTCGTCCCAAGGGCAATCGTCGGGCTGTCCCCAACGTGCTCCTGGCGCGTACTCCACTTCCACGTACTCATCTTGCGCCTTGTTAGACTCCGGTTCGGAGAGGTATTCGTCAAACGCCGATGGGAGCAGCAGCGTGAGCACGGGCTGATTGCCAGTGTGTTGCGGAGACACAGGACCCTAAGTAGACGGAGGAACAGGAGGAACAGGAGGCGCAGGAGGTGCAGGAGGCGAAGGAGGAGCAGGAGGCGCAGGAGGCGCAGGAGGCTGTGGTGGCTCTGGTGGTTCTGGTGGGATACGGGAGTACCACCCGTCAGCGTCTACTCTAAACGCGGGCCTTCGCGCAGGTTTTTTCTTGAACAAGAAGTGGGTGCCGCTGAATTCCGCCATGGCTTCCCCAGCCAGGCGAGAGTGACCAAGAAACGGAACGAGAAACTGAAAGAAAAGGAGCACAAATGAGGGATTCAAAGGGACCCCTTCTGGTTAGCGCCTCGGGGTCCTCGTCGGGGAGAGACGGGTACCCCCTGTCTGAACCCGGAGAGGAGGGTATCGCGGCACGAACATGCTGCGCTGGCAGGGCATTCCAGCCCCTTCTCGATGGTTCGGGTGAAATGCAGCTGCCTGCCAGCGCATGAAAGCCTGATTGGGCCGCATGGCAACTTTCACGTCAGCGCTGGCAGGTGCGCT